GGCGAAGGGGCGTCGGGCGATCGCGTTTACTGGATACACTGGTCCCTTTGCTTCTTTGAGTTTAACTTCGTGCCTTGCCAACAGCCCATCCACGTCTAGAGCAGGGAGAAGAGAATGACCATTTCTTGCTTATTAGGCTTCAGCATTCACCCAGATTCAACTTAAGGTCTGGAGCATCTGAGTATCCTACCCGGGATATTTGGCCCTTGAGTCGCACGTTCCAGCAGCAATACAGAGACCAGTTTTCCTGTCGGTACGAACTAATCAGCCGATACCACTTTTCGCCAAATGACTGCCTACGCGGGCTCCAGTTTGAGCTCCGAGGCAAAACGAACGTCAAAAATTCTGTAAACCGCTCGGTGAGCGCCTATCCGCCATCACCATTAAGATTTCCTACCACAACCGACAAGCAAATGGGCCCGTGACCCAGTAGTGAACTGGTAATCTCAATGACCAAAGATCCCAGATTCATATTTCCGGTGCTCCACTCCCAGGATTTTGTAGGCCTGTCTGATGACGGCGAATAAGCCAGCAATAGTCCTTTTTCTCCCCCTTGTCTTTGTCTGAAATGTTAGCAATGCAAAAAGTCTGCCGACTTACAACATGTACTGGCTCTGGTAATATGATTCATTATGTAATCTGCAGTTTCGGGAAATGTATGGAATTTTACAAGAAGATCCCTGTTACACAAAAGCAGCTCAGGCTGCGTCCGACAAAAGCCTTACAGCCGTAAGGTAACGATCATTTTTAAAAAATAACACTTACTGTGGTTTACCAAAGGGAGGAGGATTTGAGTTATCAAATAAACTCAAGTTATAGATGCAGGAAATGCCTGATTATGCAAATGTCCGAGTGATTAAAGCAAGAAAAGTACAAGTACATCTAAAAATAATCTTTTTTTGAAAATTTCGGAAACACATGCTTCTAAATTACGCGCACGGTAAATGACGGGTGTTGTCGCACAGCCCGAAGTTCGGTTATGTACTCTAATATGCTTTCCCGAGAATTGCCAGTTGCTTCTTCCGTTTATGCGTTGCTTGAGATACGTTGGACTAAGGCAATTAGATTTTCGCTTGGTTGCACCAATTGGGATATCACAGGACTATCAGTATCCGTTTGTAAGCGCATACGTGGTCATACCGGTCAGTAGATTATAAATTCAAAAGGAATTTTTCGTCAAATATCCTTTGATTACGACTAGAGTGAGATTCTTAAAATACTGGTGAACACAACTATTTTCAGTGTTTCAGTTGATCGTCCATAAAAACGAATTCTGTTTTACCCGTTCACCAAAACCATCAAAAACTATATTTTTACAGGCGTTCACCCAAACGAGTAAGTTCCCAAGTTCTTTCTTCTGCAGTTGTCTGTTTGGGTCATGGTTTTAGAATCATCCAAATATTTCAACGCATTGGTGCTATGCCATCCCCTCAAATTGCTGTCTTGACATTTCATGAGTTTGGCACACGCCCATCAGTAACTTCAGCGCAGTTGAGAATTATACATCTGACTGGCTTTTCACCATCACAATGCAGTAATGGTCGTGACTTTAAGAAATGCCAACGGAAGGGTTAACTCGTTTGTCCTAGATCCGTACCTGTTCGTAATAAGTGAGCCAACCTTTCAAGATCTGATTTACCGGAAATTAGTAGTGCAGGTCCTTCAGCAGAAGTTGAAGGAATACCTTCTAGATTACGCTAATCCTGCGTTTAGTTCCCTTTTGCCGGGTGACTTTTCTTACATAAACGGATTGCCCCTACTTATTGTGTTTCTGCCTCTTAGAAGAGCATCGACGAAGCGGAAACTGCTGACCTCTGCGGCGACTCGACCAATCTTCACACGCTTGCCGTCCTAGGACCCACTTCGCTCGAAGCACGGCTTAGAGCGTTGAAGGAAAATAAACCGGCCTCTGTGTCCTGTGTCATCTGTCACGTAAGTAGTTCAGTATAGTTCAGTATATTTATGGTAATAGGCGATGCCTTTGAAGACCCTATTGAAAACATCATGAACAAAATGTGCGACATAAAGTATGCTACTATAAAATTACTCTGCTCGCAGCCCTCAGGTTGGCTTTGGACAGACAAATAACTGCTTAATGTTCCACGGTGCCTCTGTTCTGCTTCGTTCAATTAAAAACTGCATCTCACAGTTCCCATCAAAATTTCGTGGGATTGGTTATCTGTTAAAGAAACCATCACTAAGATGTTTGAATATAATTAAAAGAATGCTGTAAATGGTAGCGCAATGTGGACATTCATCTTGAATCGGTGCGCGTTCCAGAACATCAGAAGCTTGCCGGATGTGAGTTTGAAGGCTAGGTAAGTACGTAGTGCACACACTGTTTTCTTCGTGCGAATGCGGACGTGGACAATAATACTTACAGCTTCACTTTTGATAAATGGCATTCGGCTAATTGTGAAGTCGCTGAAAACATGTTCATGCCTTCATCCGACTCCTTAAACGTGTAGTATAATATGATGATCCTGAAATGTACGGCCGCTTGAATCCTCCTCGCGCCCTGGAGATAATCGTGTTGAGGTTGATTCCTTGTCTGGATTCTACAGGCTCTGTTGGCCGTCTCACCATAATGCCTTTATCCTTTAATTTGTTGCATCACCTTTTAGGACGTTGTCACTGAGACCTCGGAACAGGGTCTGATAGTTGGTGCACTTGCCGCTCGCTCCAGCGTGGTCTCCATGCCCCCACCCTGTGCTCGTGCTGTATTCTCCGATTCTGGAAATACCACCAATCCTAACTACTACACCAGTGTCGACAACGCATGGGTAAGCAGTCCTCTTTCACTACCTTGTTTTGCCATTTTCGATTTAACTGCTTTAGGACTGTTCCTCCTCAAGCTTACATCCCAGGAGTTTCCTTCCTTCTTTCTTTATTTCTTTCTTTCAATACACCACTTTTAGAGACAGTTTTGTATAGTTTTAAGTTCCGCATTGTCAAAACAGAGTTGATTTCCCATCGAAGGACCCAACCGTTTCATCTGATCATTCATTTCTCACAGAGATTGAGAAAAGAATGAGGGGATGCCCTTTTTGGTGCAGCGGAGTTGGTTTTATGACAAATTTAAATTTTGGATCGTTTTAATGACAAGATTGTAGAAGGCACTACGGCACAGAACAGCAGGTAGCAAATTTGGTCCCATGCAAATTTTCTTCCCAGTTCTCGGATTAAACAAGGCAACTTGAGACGAATGATCTCATCTTTATAATGCCAACTGGTGTTCGTGTAGGTGTGCAGAGGCCGATTTTCTTGGTTGGTCACAATAAACTACAGTAGTCGCCAAAGACCATGCAATTTTCATAAATTTGTATAAATTTGATCATTACTCGAATACCAGTGTGAAGGCATTTAGAAAGATTTAGAAATAATAGTAAACTGCATCAAGCATATTAAGTACTTAAAAGAACCATAGGAATTACCAAGTGTTTGTCAAGAAAACTAAAATTTTCTCGATAATCCCGGGGTTTTGGAGACGTAAAAAAG